ATATATATATATATATATATATATATATATATATCTACTCTCAAAAGTTTAACTCCCTGTAAACGTCATTCTTTTGTCATTCTTTCACTTGCTTTGTTTAAAATTTCAATTGAAGTGTATACATTTTAAAATTCCAGATTCATCTTTTGTACACAATTTCATTTCAAACTCTGTCTTACAATATTCAAAATAATGAACTCCTTTTTGTCTAATGTAACTATTTCTACCAACTGTAAATAAGAAAACCATTGGCAATGTCCAGAGGTGGGCTGTTCCAAATCGGCCAAACCAGTAGTAACAGCAGCAGGAAGCTCTGCCCACCCACCCGGACACTTCTGCACATGTGCAGAAATGTCACCCGTGAGCGTGCCCCCCACCGGAACCAGTAGTAAAAAAATTGGCAACCCACCACTGCAACTGTCTCTCTGTCATCAATTGCTCTTTTGATTTTATTTTGTATTCTCCTTGACAAATTTCTAATATTTCACAATAAGTTAGCCATTTATATCTGTTTATTCTTTCTTGTCTATCAAATGCTTCTTATTCTGAGAGCCACAGAAGTGTTTTTAGGCGCAACCTGAAATTTTATCTCTTCAATTTTCTCAATAGGGCACATCTAACATAATTATTTTTAAAATCCACATTAATCTTTCTTCTATCATACCACAAATAACCATGCCACCCAAATTTTGCGCACAAAGAAAGAGTGTTGTAAATTTTATAATCATGAAATCTTGCGATTGAAGTAGGGAACTGCAATTTAAGTAACGCTTTTAAATCTAATCAATACCAAAGAAAAATGGTTATTGTGGAAAAATAAATATTTTGAGGAATATGGGGAAGAAGATATGCTTTATATGTTTCAAGCTCAACCCTTAAGAATTCAACAGGGAATTTAATCCAATACTGGGAAGAGCGGGGAAGATTTTTACTTATTAAAAAGCATAATAATTAAGATGATTTAATTTTTATCATGGTTCATAGAAAAAGGTGCAATGCAGATACTATTTTGATAATTAACATTAAGCAATCAAGATATTCCACTGAACAAATTGTAACTCATATATAGATTAACAGAAGGAAATGTAACTCTATTGAATATATTAAATATAAATAATATTGTGTGCTCTCTCTCCCTCCCCCCTCCCTCTCCTTAGATCCCAGAATTGTACTCACGCTTTTGATGCCAGGTCCTTTCAATGTTATATGCGTCTGACTCCAACCGTGACCTCTGTTCCTTCCCCAAATTGCTGGCCCATGAATACCAGTCTTTCTTAGAAAGACTTGAAGCAAACCGGAGTGTAATCCAGACACTTTATGCCTAAAGGATAAACACAGATCTTCGGAGCGAGCTAAATGGCCAAGTGGGAGAACCAAGCGGGCAAATCGACCTGCCTTCCCTTTGGGTTGAGAAATAGATAAGTATTGTCCACCTGTTTAAAACAAAGTGGGAGGAGAAAACAAACTATTTCAACATGCCCTTGAAAAAAGGAACATGATAATAAGAAATTAAATTTGTGGCTGCCAGAAAAGGCTAATACTGATCACCCAGCTGTAACACTGTAAGTAATGTGAATGTAGCACTGAATTGATTGATTTATTTTAAATTGGAGTGCCTCCACATGTGTACTGGACCCGTGTCCCTCCTGGCTGGTCGCGAACAGCAGGGAGGTGACACGGGGCTAGATCCAGGCGATAGTGACCGCCTCTCTCCGTTACACCTATCCTCTGCGAGCTGCACTGGCTGCCTATTGGTCTCCGGATATGCTTCAAGAGCCGAGGTGGCGCAGTGGTTAAATGCAGCACTGCAGGTTACTTCAGCTGACTGCAGTTCTGCAGTTCGGCT